GAAACAGCACCGTCTCCGTCATGTAAACTTGTAATATGCAGTTCCTCTGAAAATGTTGACTTTTCGCACATGCGCATTACGGTTCCAGTCACTAGGCATGCATGAGAAAGTCGACCATCACAACAACAATGGCGGATTCCTGAGCTCTGTTTGTGCTGCTTACCGTGTTGGATTTATCAACTCTTCTCCAGCACAGTGTAGATTTACTGTAGTAACTCCACCCCGTCGTCTGTCCAAACGTTTGTGCAGTTGCCATTTTGTTTGTTTATACATCACCGCTCTGTCGAAGGAAGCTCATGTGCGCAGGCGTGTGCTGTTTCATTACAAAGTCACACTGCCCACTACTGGCCTGGCATGTATACTGCAGCTTATTTGGTAATTTTTGCGGCTCCGTGTGCACGGCGATTGTTATCAAAACGTTGCCGTCTGAACGCGGAACTTCTTTCAAAATAAAAATGAGAAACAATTCCGTTTCAGCGGATCGTTTTTGTGTAAACATGGCTTAAGACCTTAAGATGATCAGCTTATTTTTCATATTTATCGCAGATATTTACGAAAGAAAGGAGAGATATCTGTCGGCTGTGATTGGTTGTTCCTCAACAGATGACATGCGGTGCACACTGAAAGTTGAACTTTCTGTATCCCAGGGTGCAGCTGTCCCACCCTGAAAAATAGGTGCTTGGGAACACATGCGTGCGGTGACAACAAATACACGGCATGTGCACGGCCCTAATGCTTTTTTTTTTTTTTTAAATCCAGGTAATCACGTGTTGCTGTTTTGTCCCTTCGATGTCCCTTTGATGACCAGGGACAGTGTTTGGCTTTAAAACCGGCCTTCCAAGTGAACGTCGGTGGTTGGTGGACCCATCCAACACCCCTCCTGCCCTACTTGACCTTCCACCACCCTAACTTTTGTTGTTGTCCTGCCGCATTTCCCCGACGCCACTGGATGCATTAAACAATAATGCCGACCAGCCGTGCATCATGCCCACCTTAAAGGACAGCTTTTTTCATTGCTCTGTGACTCTGGAAGTCACTAACCAAAGACCCGTTTCCACCGCAGGAACCACCCCCGAAGGACAAAGTTCTGGAACTTTTACAGGGGCTAAACAAGTCCCTGCCTTGGAGTAGGTACTCAGAACGGCCCCTAAAAACTCCTGGCTGGGGCTTGGGGTTTACTTGGTGCTGATTGGATATACTCAAGGCAGGATGTGATGTCAACAGAAAGCGACAAAATAGCCGGCATTTTTAAAACTCAGCAGACGAGAGCTCGTTCATAGCTTCCACTGCCATGTAAACAAAGAGACACGCCAGAAACCCAGCAACCACCTCAGCTCCTTCCATGTTGATTATCGTCTTTCTTATGTCTGCTTTCTTCTTCTTACTTCTGCTTCGTATTTCTGCTTCTTCTTCTTTGTTGTTCTTCTTCTTTGTTTGTTGTTGCGTCGCCCCGGTCAAAATGGTCGCGCAACGATTACGTCACATCCAGAGCCTGGTAACTTTACAGGAACCTTCCTCCTACTCCGCCCTCTCAGTGGAGACACGGCGGTTGAGAGGGCCGAGCGAGAGGACGTTCCTGTAGAGTTCCTGCCCCCCAAATAGTACCAGGAACTTCTTCAGTGGAAACGGGCCTCAACTTTGCATTGAGACCGGGTTGATCCAACACAACTAAACTGAAACCCCCGAAAAGTGCAAATGCTGTCATTTGATTCCCAATCAAGAAACTCCGGTTAAGAATTGCTTTACCTTGTTAATATGGACTTTAAAACTGCTTTGACATAGAAAATAATGTGATTTTAAACACCTAAAATGATTAAACATGTGAGTAATTATTAGATTCAGTAATTAATTGCAATTTTAAAAGTGATTGCACTGGTTTGAACTTACTCCAGTAATGAGGTGGGTTGTAACAGTATTTGACAGCATTTCTTGTATTTGACTTTAATCAGTGACTTCCGTGATACAGTTGGAGAAGTTGGAAACACTGCTCTTTATAAAAGACAAATATGGGTACTTTGTGTCAAAGTTCGAGAGCTCTAACACAAAAATTCAGAGAGTTATAGGTGCTGTGACAAAACCCAGAACTGGTTTCTGTAACGTCACATTGCTGCCAGCATGGCTGCTGAGTTTTAATCCTCCACCCTGACTTTTCTTGAAGCACGTATAGAACATGGTTGTATTTCTTCTTAGATATCAGCACCTGCCCTACAAGTACTGATACCTATCATTTTTATCAAGACCCTGAATTAAGACACTTGACATTATATCGAAGTATCTGGCCTAACCTGTGCAGTCAAATAAATACAACAAGTGGTTGAAATCATGTGTTGAAGGAGTCAAACTGCGAGACCATCACATGCAAGTGATTGAAACTCAGGGTAAAAAGGGAAAGGCCTCAGTGTAGTGAATCACAGTCCTGACATTATCATTTATTTCACAGCCATGGGCTCGGTGATGGTGTGATCAGTAGTCTGAACCAGTCTGTGCCCTGCTGGTTTCACTTCAGCTCTCCCTAAAGCTGTCCCTTTAAACACTTCCTTCCCCTGTTACCATAAAGCTGCTAGAAGAGCCTCCCTGCAAAAGTCACATGCTCCAGTTCCCTTTGTCTCCCCATAGAAAGCCTCTATCTGTGCACGAGAGGGACGAGGAGCATGCAGCTGAGGAAAGTCACATATGAGGGGAAATAAAGTGGATCAGAACTAATGTTTGGTTTCAGCTTTTCTTATTGTCTGTGAGCGCAGGATTCATATTTTGTTTCCAACACCGTGTCATTAAAAACATGTTAAAACAGCTGAATATAATAAAAAGTTAATAAAAAGTTTCCCTAGTGGCTTTATGACATGCATTAATAAAATACTTGAGTAATAAACCATTTGTAAAAGATAATTAGACAATGAAAACTGTTATGATAGCTAAAAAGAGGCTTTATTGATTAGATCTGTATTATTTTATATGATTGTATTATTTTCATTGAATTGTCGGGAGGCTTCGTTGTAAAGACAAAAGCACATAGCAAAAATATACTGTAAAAAAATGAGGCATGAGGAGCATCTAAATGAATCAGAATATGAATGTTAAAGATTTTCCAAACTTTAAGTGAAAGTAAACCAAAAAAGTTTTGAAAATCCAGCAGCTCAGTTACAGATGTAAATGCACGATCAGTACATATTTTACCAAACAGAATCATACTGTATTTTTGATCTTTCCCAAAAACAACAACAGCAAAGTGTTGCTATGTTCTGATGTGACTCCAGGTTCAGTCCTCAGAGGTGAAACCCTCTTCAGACATTACGGTAGTCCACCCAAAAGCCCAGAGAGGAATTCCAGGAATGTGAAAAGCTCCAATTCATATTGAAACTAGATTAAAATGTTCACAATTTAAAAACCAAATGCTGGTTTGAGCCTGAGCGACTAAATACACGTCTACAGGGCCTGATTAACAGACTACACTCTGTATCAGGCTGCACACGTCAGAATAAATGGCTCCTGCTGTCTTCTTCTTCTGCCTCAATAAAGCAGCGGGGGTGAACTCATGAAACAGCTGCTGTCAATAGATATTGATTATGTGACAGATTCTATGTCAGAGGACTTTTATCAATAACAATGTCAACTTTTCCAGTGCACTGAACTTTTCCCCACATGAAAAGTTACGCCGACATCTGCCTAGTAACAGCAATTCCTCCCATTGGTGCAACTCCAGTCTCCTCCCGCTTGTGTGTGTGTGTGAGAGAGAGAAAGAGTGTGTGTGTGTTGGAAAAGTCTTTAAACTTTACCATTTGCACTCAAGTCTTACTTTAATTTAAACAGCTTTTCTCTTGTGTTTTTAAAGGAGTATGATTGTTTTGCTGAGGTTATCAAAGCAACAACGTGCGCATTGTTTTTTGTAATGATCAATAGCATATAAAATATATTCCATGGTTGGTACTGGTGGAATAATCATGACAGTATGTTTACAGGCAGACTTCAGGCATCCATGTGATTCAGTGTGGGGAAGGCACATGCTGAGGTTTATGTTAACTGCACTGAGCATGTGGTGCCAAACATTTTACCACTTTTCATTGTGTAACTTTAATAAAATGTGACATCACAGCTCATCTATAAGTATAAATGTGTTGATAAGTATCCTATCAGGTGTCCCAGGCTGATATCTTTACCCTGAGCTATGTGGAGTAGGAATGAATGGAGATAAATAAAGCAGTAGCCTACTGTGTGTGTTCAGACTGCACTATTGTCCCATGTGCTCACCTCATGTTCAGTTTGTTGAGGGAGAGCTGCTGCTGCTTTCATTGAGTCTCGCGCAGAGGAGGAAGGGGTGCGAGCCGTTATCGCCCCCTACCGACGCCTCACGGCTCAGCCTCCCCTTCGGTCAACTCTCCTCTCTTCCACCGGGGGACCGACGTCCCCCCTCACTGGGACCGACGTCCCCCCTCACTCAGCCCCGGACCTCCCACCTCTTCCTCAGAAGCTAGCAGGCTATAGGAGGAAGGGACAGAGGTGGGTGAGGAGGCAGGGGCGCCCTCCCCTCTCTCCCTTTCCTTATATATATGTATATAATAGAATCCCTTCCTCGCGCGCTCCCTTGCAGACTGCTTGTCTCTTTGATCCCCCCCTTCTCCCTCCTAACGACAGCTGACGTCATAGCGAGCTATCCACCACCACAGCAGCCACCGCCGCCGCCGCCGCCGCCTCCTCCTCCCCAGCGCGCGCTCGCCGATAAACTTTATGTGTGTGTTCGTGCGCGTTTGGTGAGCGCGAGGCAGGGGTTTTTGTCTCGCGGAGGGAAGCGTTCAGAGCTTCAGAGGGCTCGCGCACACCGGAGGAGCAGCAGCACGCAGCAGCAGCAGCCCAGCAAGAAGAAAGTGATTTAACACATTTACCGGCCTGTAGCCTCCCGTCTGCTGGAGCCTGCTCCCTCAGTCACACGGTGATATTATCACGGGGGGAGATTTTACACCGGCGGTCGTTCTAATAATATTAAAAGGCAGAAAAGTAAGCCGAGTATGGAGGACCAGCTGCTGTGCTGCGAGGTGGACTCCATCAGGAGAGCCTACCAGGACGTCAACCTGCTCAACGACCGAGTTCTGCACACCATGCTGAAGGCAGAGGAAAACTACCTGCCGTCTCCAAACTACTTCAAGTGTGTTCAGAAAGAAATTGTACCCAAAATGAGGAAAATAGTTGCCACCTGGATGTTAGAGGTTGGTTGCTTCAACTTTCAACTTCAGTGCCTGAGTTTCGCTGCTAACTTGTTGCTCTGTCGCCTCCATAGATTTAATTCACAGCCTATGAAACATGCTGCAGTAGCCTTGAGATGAAAGCTGTGAGTCTGTGAGAGGTTAATGTCTGTTAATTCACTGTTACATAAACGCTCTGAAAAGTATGTCCTCATGAGTGCTGGGTGGTCCTTCGGCTATAACAGGAGATATTGGCTACAGACAGCTTCCAGCATGAATAGCTTTTGTTGTTGATTATGTCTTCAGCTACATTTTCCAAAAGGTATTGAAATGTAATAACACGGGGAAAATATTCCAAAATAACAGCAATGTACACGTATGCAGTCTGGCCCGTGCCAGTAGCCTATAACGCGCCATCTTTGTTGTCGTATATGAGAAGGATTTTAATATCATTAAAAATCTATAAAATCAGCAGCAATGACAGTATCTGGATCAGATGGGCCACAAATGCTTCTATATCCTGAGACAGTTATAAAGTGTCTGCTTCAGCTTGTTCGGCTGCTGTCAATTGGAAAAGTTTGTTTTGCTTCCCATGAGTCGCTGCAGTCTGTGAAGGTCGCTCAGGAAAAAGGGCATTTTGTCAAAGTGTAAAAGTCTGAAATGGGTTTCAACAGTCGGGTTTGATAGATCAGATGTTTTTCAACATTAACATGAACTTTTGGATTGAATTCGTTGCGGTTTTATATTTTGTATTAATTTCTGAAATCGTGCAGCGCGGCGCCGAGGGAGGAAGCGCCGCCTGCACGTGAATCAGCCCAGTCTGAGAAATTATTTTTTTATAATTCATACGTGTCACAATTCGACACATTTTCACTCTCATCCGATCAGGCATTCGATAAGGATCATTTACATGTCAATTACATGCACCCTGATAATTTTTAAATATTTATAAATATTTTATGAAAAGATGACGAAGTTGAAATTGGAGAGTGAAACTTGCATCGACGCCACCTTTGTGTCTCAGTCAGAACTGACTGCAAACTAAATCCCGACTATTTTTTTTATTACTGCAAAACTCTCACTTTCTCTAATAAATCGCATTTATCATATTTTGACTTTAGATGTTTTCTGTTGCATGTAAATTACATTAAATATCGTGTCACAGCGGATATTTAAACTCTTAACTCGAGTGAATTAGTTCATGAAATGTTTAATTCCTGTTAATTTATTTTGGGATTATTGTGCAAAGTGCTGTTTTTGATTGCAAACAGCTGTGTGCGGAATAAGACATAGATGCAGCTGGGGGCAAAGACTTAACAATGGATGTGTATGAGGGGGAATTTCAGCAGCAGACTCAGAGTGTGTTTCTCACCTCCCCAGGTCTGCGAGGAACAGAAATGTGAGGAGGAGGTTTTTCCGCTGGCTATGAACTATTTGGACAGATTTTTATCAGTGGAGGCCACCAGGAAAACACGACTACAGCTGCTGGGAGCTACATGTATGTTTCTAGCATCCAAGATGAAGGAAACTGTTCCCCTAACGGCGGAGAAACTCTGTATCTACACGGACAACTCGGTCCTGCCCGGAGAGCTGCTGGTAATTGAGTTCTGCAGACATGGATGTTGCATAACACATACAGTAGGCTACATGAGCAGCATGCACTGTTGAGCACATGACCAGAATACAGAGTGGTTGCAGTTCATCTGGTTTGTCAGTGTCACAGTGGTCGGAAAATATCAATAACGTGCTGAAATGTCAGAGATAAATTCTTTGGTTCTAAATTAAAATAAGTATAAATGTAGCTGTGGTGCAGCAGTGTCTGAATGGCTGCCTGTGACTTTCCCATGGTGACTGGAAGGCCTCTCTGATTTCATGAATGGTCTCAGTGACTGCCAAGAAAACGCTGATTTACTGCGACACCTAGTGGCCATTAGACAGAGGTGCAGGTTGCTGGCAAAGACTAAGAGGAGCTACACACACTTTGTTTTTGTGTGTGCTGCGATATTAAATGTGTGTGCATCTGTTATCATGGCTGTGCGTCCATCAGAATGGAGACAGCTGATGATTGGGTCAGATAATAACACATGTATGCAGCGTTTATTAGTTGATAAGTAAGACAACATAATAATAATTAAGTAGTAGATCCATTGATTGTGCAGCTAGTATAATAACGTATGAACTGGAGTATTTTGACCACTTAAGCCAAAAGAGAAAAAAACAAACATTTAATGAGATGCCGTCCAAAAAAGTAAAGTGCAACCTAGACACATAAGACAAAGGAACTAAACGTCACAGCACATATAAACGAAGGAGCACATTTTCTTTCGCTACACGTGAGTGGGTCAGTGTGAGTGAATTCCTCTGGTCTGGTCCATCCACAGCAAATGGAGCTGCTGGTTCTCAACAAGCTGAAATGGGACCTGGCTTCAGTCACGCCTCACGACTTCATCGAGCACTTCCTGTCCAAGCTGAAGATCTACCCGTCCACCAAGCAGATCCTCAGGAAACACGCCCAGACCTTCGTGGCTCTCTGTGCTACAGGTAGGATACAGTTTCTTAATAGATCTTTTGTCTGCAGGTCTTTTGTCTTCATGTGTGCAGCAAATATACCTTATCAGTATACACAGATGCTTATTTATACATTTTCTCTGTTTTGAAATATTTCACATTTTTGTTCTGTGGTATATTATGATCTGCTGTGGCCTGGATTTTCTCATCTGTATTTAGTTATACTCTATATTTACTTTTCATAGTCAATTACTGACTGACACAAGCGTCCAGACAGGGTTGATTAAAGTTAAGAAATGTATTAGAGATAAAAACAGCTCTAACCCCAGTTTGGGATGACTAGTTTCAGGTTTAGTTATTCTGATCATGGCAGCCATGTTGTCATTACTAGTTAATAAATGTTAAGAGGGGTTGATGTGCAGGGTTTTGTGAGGATAATCAGTCATGCTTTGTCTTGTTTTTCTGTGAGAAGCTGCAGGTTGCAGATTCATTGGGGGAAACTGGGAGACGTTACATTTGCTGTAATACTGTAGACGTGGAAAATTATAATAAAATAGAAACACAATAAGAAGTATGCAAGAAAAATGTGCATTGTGCCACAATGCATGTACATAGAAATAAAAATATAAGAGAAGAATATGGTGCATAAGGAATAGAAGTACTAATAATAATAATAAACTTTACTTATATAGCACGATTTAAAAGCTACAGAGTGCTTTGCAAAAAAACCCAGAGATAAACAGTGATAAAAAAAAATTAACAGTAAAAGCAGATTAAATGTTATGCAACACTGGACAACAGAAGCAACATACGAGAGAGTAAATATGAAAAAATAATAATACAGTAATCCTTTGGGGCCTGAACAGAAAAGGCTCGGTCACCCTTGTTTTTTTAGCCAAGAACATGATACATGAAACATATATACGAATATGTGCATCAAGTGTTTGTTGAATATAAAACACCTCTTACAACAATGAACATGGATCAGGAGCTCATTGGATAAAATAAAGCACAGATTTGTTCATATATTTTAATCAAAGTGTTTTATAATGATCATCAGGCTGTGCTGTGTAGATTCTTCTTTCTAACACATGGTTTTCCCGTTCTTCAGATGTCAACTTTATCGCCAGTCCTCCGTCCATGGTGGCGGCGGGCAGCGTGGTGGCAGCTGTTCAAGGTCTCTACCTGAAGAGCCAAGATGCCTCCCTGTCCTCACAGAACCTCACCAACTTCCTGTCGCAGGTCATTCGCAGTGACCCGGTAAGCCCAGACACAGTCTCTCAAACCTATATTTGAATGTGGAAAAAACGTTAGCAATTTTTACACAGAGATCGCAATATAGCACCGCTACTATGTCCCTTCTTTATGCCGCCTTTGCATTTTTAACAGAACCAAGGATTTTAGACAGCATGCCGACAACACAGAATCAGGCGTGACATGTAACACCACAGTGTCAGTAGCACTTTATAAACTACCACAATGACAAAACATGTCTATAACAATCACTTACCGTCTCTGTTTTATGGTGGCTGATCTCGTCCTCTGCTCGGAGTAAGGAGCTCCTGGACCTCACTGTTTTCCCAGTTTACAGACATTTACGGCTGCTTCTTTGAGTTACCCACTAACTGCTAACAGCTACTTTTTAAATCTCCCATGGTGGGTTGTACACATTACACGTCATCAAAATGTCCCACCTGTCCTGCTCATGGTCCCGTCGTTTCAGCTGGCCTGTTTATACAGACACCATTTCAGCGCTGTTACTACCTCCCATTAAAGGCGAGACAACTCTGTAACCCTGTGATTGTACCTTTATATATAGCACAGCGAGGCGGTATGAAGGCGTGATATACCCACCTTGATCAGGCAATGTAAAAAGGGCTATTGATGTGTCTTGATGTCAGCAGCGTGACTCAGTGTTTTGATTCTGTGCTTGCAGGACTGCCTGCGGTCGTGTCAGGAGCAGATCGAGTCCCTGCTGGAGTCCAGCCTGCGGCAGGCTCAGCAGCACAGCAACACGACGGAAACCAAACGCGTGGATGAGGAGGTGGACCTGTCCTGCACCCCGACAGATGTCAGAGACATCAACATCTGAAATGACTGACGTCCGCGTCGCATGATGACCTGATGATCGAGGGAAAGTTGTCAACAGAGGGTGGTGATGGGTGGGCTGGGGAGGGGTTTCCTCATCTGAACTCCCCTCCTCCTCCTTCTTCCTGGTGGGCTGCTATTATGGCCGACATGCCCGCTGTACGCTACGACCGCCAAGGCGGGACAAAAGTGCCCTCCGCCCTGCAACAAACCCCAAGTCACATTTCCTGCCAGTGTCCCCTCCCATCGTGGGAAAAGAAATGAACACTACAGAAATGTACAAGAGAGAAAAGAATAGTGATGATGTGCGTGGGCTGGAGTCGAAGCCACAAAACAGACATTTAGCAGATATTTTTTTTGTCATTCCCTCAAATATTAAACTAGGAATCTTTAAATTACCGCAGACTCAACTTGCCTACTAAAACATCCCAAAGTGTCATGTACAGTAGGTCCTTGTAGTCTGTCTTCAGGTCTCCACCTGAAATCTGACTTTTGTTAAAGAGAAGAGGATTTTTTTGTTTTCATTTTGTTTTATCTAATGTTTAGACTTCCTGTCCTGTGTTTGTCTTGTTGCAGTGCAAACATTCATATATCTCTGCTTGCTTATGTTTAGTCACTTTATCATATATAATTTTAGACCTCTTTATCAGTTAGTCTTATACCTCTTTTCTTCCAAGCTTTTTGTTTTTTAAACCAAGTGTAGTGTGAGACGCTCTGTTTTTATGACCCTAGTGACTGTGGACTGCTGACGTTAAGGCCCAGACGTTTGTGAATCATTCCTTGACAACATTTGCTTTATCAGCTCGCTGTCATTTGATAAGATCAAATCGATGCACAACCAAGCAGAGCAATCCACAGTCTGCTATGTATCCTTTCTCTGTGTAGTAATACCTAAACCATTCCAACTTTGTTTTTTAAAAAAAAAAGCACTTTTGGTCAGCGCTGCTGGTCGTCTAAAAAATCACAGTGATTAAGTTTGTAAAACAACCTGAAAATTGAATGAGAGGTTGAGCAGGAGTCTTCTGGTGATGGAGAGTCAGAGCAGCACACACAGACAGTTGGATCTGATTCATTTAATGGGACAAAAGATTTGACCAGTATGGCAGAAACACTTTTTTAAAAACAAGACTTATGCTGCTCGACACTGTCTTGAGTCTGTAGCTGCCTTCTACGTCTCAGATTTGAGTTTTAGTTCAGCAGATGTTTCTCAAAGGCAAAGCTGCTCTTCCACTTCAAGAAATATGGTGTCAGTGTGCAGAGCCGGAAGCTAAAGGTCCAGAGGTAAAAGTAAAAAGAAGTATTGTTTTTATAGTTGAAATAATACTTTATTTTTATAGAGTAAAACATATTTATTCTTTGTTAGCCTGCATTTTCTAGTCGAGCTATTTCTGTCTCCAGAGCAGCCCTGCCGTCCAGAAATATCTGCAAAACTAAAACTCCAGTCTGCCTCTTAATCGCCAGGACGGCATCTCCTCCATCGCTTCACCTCAGTTCAAATACTGCTCATGGATTCTGGGAAGGGGATCAAGCTAAAAAAAGGAGTGTTGAGACTATGATTTTGCACAAACCTGAAAGACGTGGGCTGCGTTTCTTGGGGACTTGCTTGAAAAAAAGTGTGAGCGGCAAGCGAACCCGAGGGTTGAAAAGGTGGCAAAAGTGGCAAAAAAGGGTGAAGGCTCAACAGGGAGGGGTGTCTTAATGCTGTAGAGTTCAAGTCAGGGTTCCTACACAGGACGGCAGCGTCGTCACGGCCGGGTATGATGGATGGACAGATTGATTCTGGAAACACAAGTACTGAATTCTACGTCCCGCTGTGTAGGAACCCTGTGGGTTAGGTTTCTGATTGTACATTAAGGATAGAGAGTAGGAGAGAAACACTCCTTGTATTCCGCTGCTATAGAAAATGAATCCCAGCTACGTGTTTAAAAAAAAGAGAAAAAGGAAAAAAAGATGACAAAACCGTAATGAATTAAAAACGATGCTTTTCTCCTGTTGTTTGCTGCTACATTTTTGGTGTTTTTTTTATACATATAAATGTCAATATACTGCCATTCTAGGTTTGAATTTTCTCATAGAAAATTGTTTTATTGACATCCTCATTTGTTGTTTTTGTGTAGATTCTATGTGATCCTTTTTTTTTTTTGTTTGTTTATAATTACGTAATATGATTTTCCGAACTATTCCAAAAAAAACAAGGAAAAATGAGACAATGTACAGAAATGCTTTGATCCACAATACCTCATGTGACAGTCAAGATCTATCTCTGATTTTTAGTCTTTTTGTTTGTTTAGTTCTTATTCTATTCTACTTGTTGGTTCAGTGCCTACTAGCTCTGTTCAACCTGCTTGAGATGAAGCATCCGTGATGGAAACTAGCGAGTCCAGGGCATGCTTTGATACTGGTGCCATAACAGAAAATGGGATATGTATAACTCTGTTGAGTGTTAAGCTGTCTCTGTGAAAGAGACTTTATCCCCCCTTTAGGCCCATAGCGGCCTTCTTTCCTTTCCCCCCTTTTATATTTATAAAAGAAAAAAAGCTTTTTGCTCCAATTTTCAAACTGTCAGTGAGTTGATTTGAGTTTGTAAATAGATTCAGTGTCGTGCTCGGTAAGCCATAGACTGTTTTTTGTTACAAATCATTTCACACAGTTGTGTCTACTTCATGCCAGTTGTCTGCAACTGGGACAAACAGTGTATTCATATTTGTGTCGACTACACAATAAAAACATGAATTAGATGGAGTCTGGAAAACTGCCTGTCTGTTCTTGTCCACGGGAGGTTTGAATGAAATGAACTCACACTGTATGTTCTGAATGTGTTAGCAGAGAATCTCAGGCGCAGCTGAATGTATAGTTACTCTCACCAGCCACGTTATTAGGTACACCTGTTCAACTGCTCATTTTGCTAATTGCTAATTCAACTCAATATAACTTGATTTATCCCAAAGGAAATTATTTTGTCAGAGAATGCTTCAAATTACAATAACACCAAGAACAGTAACTACAATTTATTGATTCACAATCAGAACAACCAGTGGGTTCCCCAGGTCAGGGTCTGTCACTGGGTCCTGTTTTGTAACAAAAGAGTATTAGAGAAAGAATTTTATTCATCTCCGAAGGCAAATTCAACAAGGAGCAAAAGCAAAAACCAGTGCCTGATAGGGTAACAATAGGAGTAAGATAAGAGTTACTAAAACAAAGAAGACAAACTAAATGGTTGAAAAAGCAGATTGCACCTGATAATTAATGTCATTGAATATAAGACAATGAGAAGTAGTACTGCACATGACTTAGAAAATGATATTGCACTACACTGACAAGTGATCATGATACTGAAGAATAATACTGCACATGATGTCAAACTTTTGCACATGATAAAAGCAGTAATAGTGCACCTAATGTAGATGAATATTGTTGTAAGTAAGTAAGTAAATCATTGTGAAGTCAAAGTGCTTCACAATAAATATGCAAACAGTTAAATAAATAGAAAACACAGCAAGTACAAACAGCAAAGATACAGTGCAACCGAAACAACAATCTATATACAATCCATGTAAATGCTTACAATTGTCCAAACGCCTGCCTAAAAAGGTGAATCTTCAATTGCATCTTAAAAATGTGGACAGAGGCTGAGGATCTCAGGTCCAAGGGCAAGGAGTTCCAAAGCTTTGGGGCCACGGATTGAAAAGCTCGGTCACCTCGAGTTTTCAGCCTTGTCCGAGGCACAACCAGGAGCCCCTGGTTAGAAGACCTCAGTGACCGGTTGGAGATATATGGGATGAGGAGCTCGCAGATGTAAGTGGGGGCTACTTTGTGGAGGGCTCTGTATGTCAGGACCAGGACCTTGAATTGGAATCTAAAGTGAACAGGAAGCCGGTGCAAGGATGCCAGGATGGGGGTGACCTGGCAAGACTTATGTGACCGAGTTAGTTGTCAGTGTCTTCATATCAGCTCTCCCTTCTACAGAAGGGGGAGGAGTTATACAGGTAGAAAAGATCTCCAGTGGTGTTCTGTGGAGCTCCTCAGTGGTCTCAGTCTACAGCTGAATGTGCTCTGATAGGACTCAAGGGTGGCGTGCAGGGGGTGAGAGGCACTGTCTTCTTTCTGACACCTCCACTCCAGTTCCACTCCAGACTCCAGTTCCACTCTCAGGGCAGAACCAGCTTTCTTGATGAGTGTACTGAGTCTGTTAGCATCAGCTGCTTTCACCCTGCTGCCCCAGCACAAGCATAGAAGATGACGCTGGCTACCACCCAGTGATTAAACATCTGTAACATGGTTCTGCAGATGTTGACGGATCTGAGTCTCCTGAGAGAAAACAAGTGGCTCTGACCTTTCCTCTACACAGCATCAGTGTTTATTGTCCAGCCCAGCTTATTGTCCATGTGCACGCCCAGTAATTATCCACAATGTCCACCTCAGTTTCCTCGATGCTGACTGGGTTCAGATGGGTCTGTGCTGAAGTTCAAACGGAGCATCAGAATGATGAAGAAAGGTGATTGAAGTGACTTTGAACGTGGCATGGTTGTTGGTGCCAGACGGGCTGGTCTGAGTATTTACTGGGATTTTCAGCACAGCCATCTCTAGGGTTTACAGAGGATGGTCCCAAAAAGAGAAAATATCCAGTGAGCCAAAATGCCTTGTTGATGCCAGAGGTCAGAGGAGAATGGCCAGACTGGTTCAAGATGATAGAAAGGCAACAGGAAGTCAAATAAGCACTGGTTCCAACCAAGGTGTGCAGAAGAGCATCTCTGAAGCAACAACACCTTGTCCAACCTTGAAGCAGATGGGCTACAGCAGCAGAAGACCACACCAGGTGCCACTCCTGTCAGCTAACAACAGGAAACTGAGGCTACAATTCACCAAAACTGGACAATAGAAGATTGGAAAAACCACATTCAGATGGAAGCATGGATCCATCCTGCCTTGTGTCAACGCTTCAGGCTGCTGCTGCTGGTGGTGTAATGGTGTGGGGGAGATTTTCTTAGTACCAACTGAGCATGGTTTAAACACCACAGCCTACCTGAGTATTGTTGCTGAGCGTGTCCATCCCTTTATGACCACAGTGTACCCATCTTCTGATGGCTACTTCCAGCAGGATAATGCACCAGTGGGTCCCCGGCAGATACAAAAACAAAATTGTTGCATTTAAATTTTACTTCAGTGTAGTTGACTACAAGTCTGGGTATTTTAGTTTTGACTTAAACTAATAAAGTTACTTTCTTTTTGAACAAGTCGATGTAAACTGTTGACATTTCAGTCTTTTTTAGTCATCAGCTTTTATTGAACATTTCAGTCAATTTAGTCGACACAAAACCAATGATTTTGTCCATTTAGTCAAAGTTTTTTCACATAAGATTTTATGCTATCATCATGTGATGAAAGACACAAGCTGAGAGATTAAAAATGCAGACTTTGCAGGAAGTGTCTGGTCCGGTAATCTGATGGGATCAATTTAAGGAATACACCCAATATAAAACCAAATATCACCTTGTTCCTATGTCCCAAGTCCTGCTGTTGTTACTCCAAGTAAAGTCACCTTCTCAATTTTTATCTTTTCTCCTAGAATTTTAGGCTGTTCTCAGTCACTCAGTTTGTTGAAATACAAAATGAATGCTGAGTTTGTAGAAAATGACGCAATTCGGTGTTTGCTTCCCGTATGAATGTAGAGCCAAACCATGATGTGTTTTTCAAATCCTAACCACGTGCATTTGTTGCACAAGAATAAACATGAATAAGAGGTGTTTTACCGAAGCTGTACGTTTATTTTTAAAAAGACTGTTTGCATCCAACGAGCAGAAACTGTACATTTCCTGTGAAAACAGAAGTGTAGTTTGAAAAGACACCCAGGCTATCTAGCATGTCATATAAGCTAGACGTGAAAGTTCACTGTCCAAAAAGCAATATTTGACAAGTTGGGAGTAGTGTTGGGACGGTGTGAGATTTTCACAGTACGATAACATCTTACAAAATACTGCGGTTTCATGGTATCATGTTATTACAGGATTAATATTATCAGTCAGAATGACCTTTAAAGGAATGAAAACAGAGGGGCTATTGTTGGTTGAACAAACATTTTATTACTATAACTGAAATGTGAAACCATTTTCTTAATGAAAGCATTTTTTTTCTCAATATTGTAGATGATAACTGTCAACTTTTATATTACGGCCTTTAAAACCTCTCTAACTCCACCAGGACGCCGACGTCCTCGCTTCCATCCTCCTCCTCTGTTAAATGGTATCTCCCAGGCGCACTACATCATCAAACCATGTGATGTTTGGTATTGCCGGATTCAGGAAGCTCTCGACTCTTCAAAAATAACATCGTTTTTCTTTTATTTATTATGTATTTTGCACCAGAGCAGCCTAAACACACAAAGTCCAAAATCGCGATGAGTGGTGACAAGTCATGTCATGCCATTTTTCAACTGGAAATGTTAAAGAATTACTTGTGATCTTATGTGGAGCTGTTAGCGGGGAGTTAGCTGGTTTATAAAAGGTAAGAGTCTCACTCCTACCACTATTTTTGGCTGAAATATACCATCTAGAAAGTAGGACGTTTCATATGGCTTTATTTGGTGATATTTTATGGTGTTTCTGTGTCATAAACAACATCAGCTATCATAATCACACCTGATTTCAATAAGGTACAATGTTTGAAGCTGGCTGAGTGTCGTTTGATCACTGATAGTACTGTTTTGAAGAGTGACCGACTTGTCATTTGGAGCTCCGCGTGGATCTTTTCATGGTAAAAACACTGTAGAATGGTCATACTTTGAGCAGTCTTCTTCAAATTTGAAACAATTGTTCATTGATAGTGTGTCTACAGCCCCATAGTGTCATTTACCTGCTCAGATGAAGCCACAGACAGTTATTCATCCTGAAAATCATTTTTTATTTTATTTTAGGCATCTTCAATTTTTTAGTGACTTCAGGGGCCCATTACTCTGTCTCTGTATCACCTAGAGTGTTTCTGACACTTTAACAAGAAACTTCAGAGAGTTTTCTTTCTGGCAAGACCTCATGCATGCATGTAGTCAGAGCGGTTCAGAAGCTAGAGACATTTTAATTTGGGTATGTCATTTTAGGCGTTTATGCTATAAAATGGGGGTGGAGTGCAAGAGGTTAAAACCAGTATATCACTGCAACCCTAGCTGGTATGAGAAGGTGTGATGCTACTCGTCACCCTGTAGATAAAAATATAGTAAGATGCACTAATTATGACAAGAAAGCACCACAGCAACATGAGTAACCTCTTCAAACATTTAAAACAACCCAGCTGGACCACCAACGTCATTAGACGATGATATTTGGTTGAATTCAGGTGTTGATGTCAGGGGAATTTAATCAACTCAGTTTTCATTCCAACCAAAGTTTAACATCTGTCCAACATAAGAGTCCAAAGTCTTTCTGATTAATATTGACGTTAAAAATGTAACAAAAGATATTGGTGTCATATTGAATTTTCAAAAAAGAGTTTGGTGTCATCCATCCTGCCCATGCATCACAGGAAATGAAACTGCTGCATTGAACAAAAAATAAATCAATAAAATTATTGATAATATTCCAACTTTTCTTTGTCAACAAAAGCAGAGATATTAGTTTTTCTTCTTCAACAATACTGAATGTTAATATTTTCACAGTTTAATGACATCGTGTCGTCCTAGTCATGAAAAAAACACATTTAGTCACAGTTTTTATTAATGAAAGTAACGCTGATATCTGGATATGATTTCATGTT